GAATTGAATCATGACCTCCTGGTTCATTGGTCGACACCCAACCACTGAGCCATGCTGGTTGGGCAAGGCCTGGCTTTTTACTGCATGATCCCGGGCAAATCATGTCATCCCTTGGAACCTTTGAAAACCATCTGTCAAATGGAGATAATAATAATTTTGATTTGTAAAGTGCAACCCAAGTGTCCATGGATGGATGAATGGGTAAAGAAAATGTGGTCTGAACATATAAAGGAATAGTATTTAGCATGAGAAAGGAAGGAAATTAAAATATATGCTACAATATGAATGAACCTTAAAGACACTGTGCTAAGTGAAAAACACCAGCAACAGAAATGCTGTATGATCATGCTTTTATGAGGTCCATAGAGTAGGACGATTCATAGAGGCAGAAAAAATGGTGATTGCAGGGGCTTGGTGTTCAATGGGGACAGTTTCAGCTGGGATGAAGAAGAAGTGCTGTAGGTAGATGGTGGTGATGGTTGACAACGTGAATGTGCTCACTTAACACTGGTTAAGATGGTAAATTATATGTTATATGCATTTTATTACAATGCAAATTTCTTTTTTAAGTGCTATGTATGACTACCTTCTGCGTGAAAACACAATCTACCTTAACCAGAATTGAACCTCTCCGCATGCCTACATATAGAAATGGACGAGTCCTGAATAATTTTAAATCCCGGGTGAATTCTTGATGTCGTCAACTTACCAGGTGGTTATGGTGGCACTCTGGGGTCAGGAGGAGAGAGGATGCATGGGGTGGGTAGCATCTGTATTTGAATGTCCTAAGGCTGTTCAAGGTGGAGATGCCACCAACTGAGATAACATCTGTGCCTGTGAAATGCTTCCAGTTCTCACTGTGCTTGTTACTGTTGCCCCCATTAGATCTGTGCCCTTGAGGGATGAAAATGAGGTCCTTCCCCCGGGGTTGAGAGAATGGCCTCCCTAAAGCACTTTACCCAGCGTTAAAATAAATCTTTATCTGGAGCAGAAGAAAGTTCCTCCATAAAAAGGGAAGAAATCGAAGACAGATGGTGGGAAATTGCATTAAACTTTTATTGGTTGTATCTTGAAATGACTTTTGTAAGAAATAAAAGGTTAGAATGCTGAGTTGTAGCGAGTGGGTTCCTTAAGCCAGTGTTTCTGGAAGCGTAGACGATGACCTGAGTTGGTGGGAGTCTCGTAAAAAGAATGCACAGTCCAGGCTCCCACATCCTGAATCAGGATTTCGGGGGTGGATGGAGCCTGGGAATTTGTATTATTGACAGACCCCTTGGTGATTTCTATTGACTGAGTGAAAACTAAGAGCCGAGGGCCAGCCCAGCGAATTCGTTAGGAAGCCTGGGGCAGACACAGGGGCCATCTGGTTGGCCACCATTTGATGGGAGAAGAGCCAGCGATGGGGCCAGGGCGCGGAGGTGTAGGCATGGGGAGGAAGCCTCCATGTTCCAGAACTCCTTGTCTGCCCCACCGTGGCAGCCTTCGTCCTCTGTATTGTAAGCACCTGCTTATGAATTTGTCTCCCTCCTGAGACTGGGAGTTCCTGAAGGAAAGGAATGGCCTGGTTTACTTCTCAGGAGGAGCACACAGAAGGCCCCTGAACCAGTGAATGGGGATCTGGTGAACTTCCGGGTTACTTAGGCATCAGGTTTACTTGCCAGAAACCTCTGTCTCTTAACCAGCCTGGTCTTTTTGCTGGAGTGCAGAGATGATAATTTTTATTTTTTAAAATGCTTTTATTGATTTGAGAGAGAGAAAGAGGAAAGGAGAGGGAGAGAGAGAGATTGAGATTCAGTGCCTCTCACTGAATATTGAGCCTACAACCCAAATATGTGCCCCGACCAGGAATCAAACTGGTGACCTTTTGGTGTGTGGGTTGATGCTCAACCACTGAGCCACAACAGCTCGGTCAGAGATGGTGGTTTTGAGAAGGCAGATCCATACCCAGAGTGTCCATTTTAGAAGGAAAAAAGTGCTATCCTCCTGGGATGGAAGTGGTTCCATGTAGTCTACCTGCCACCAGCTAGTTCCTGTCACCTCACAGCATGGTGCCCCAGTGGGACTCAGCTTCTGGCTGGGCACTCAGCAGAGGCCAGGCCAGCCCGGGTGAGTGGGAGCCCATGCTGCTGAGCCTGTGCATGGCCTCACCGGGTGATGGCAGAAGTGGCCGAGGAGAGAGCCTGACTGGGGTGTCCACAGAGTGGGTCATGCCATCAACTCGATGATTAAAATTCTCCTCTGCTCACGTCACCCTTTGGTGTGTGTTAGCATGGGGCACAGATAGCTTCACATTCTTTGCCCATTTAGAGAAATGGACACTATATCGCTCCCAGATTTGTTGTCACCAATTTTCCAGGGATGCCCCTGACCATCCAGCCAGACCACTTTCCCGCAGCTCATGAGTGGGTAGAGACCTGTACCTGTGGCTGCTGCTTTTCCCAGGAAAATGCACCATCAGGTGTATTTCAAAGCACTGCCCACTGGGCACATTCCCTCACCTGTCCTTCAGGAGTGTTTTACTTTTGCAGCATCCACTTCTGGGCTTTAAACCAGTTTGCACCGACTCTGAAGCCTCAAACGGCGGATTCTGCGATTACTGCTCGCTTTGTGTAATTGCAAAGTTTCTGCTTTTAACGCCCTTCCGAGAGGCCTGGCCCAACGGCAGGAAGCTCTGTGCACCGGATACATCTTGTGCTTTGTGAGTGGAAAATGGTCCCCATTCCAGACCAGCTCTCAGTACTCATGCTCATGGGATAAGTGTCCTGAGATTCAATTCTGCCTTCTTCTCCTCCTGAAGGCTCTGCTGAGCCCTCCCTCTAGGCACGTCCCTCACTAGCATACCCCCCTGCAGTCATGCAGTGTGACTTCTAGACTTCACTTCTAGAGCCCACCGGACCCTCACACGTGCCCCACAACTCAGACGTATCCTCTAGGCTCAGAGACCAAACTCAGAGGTTACATAGACTGTATAGCTTCTCACACAGCAACAGATGGGTAGGATTAGCTCTTAGGCAGCTGCCTTCATTGAGCAGATGTTTCAGGAGCACTTGTCATGTGCAGGACATGAGGATGCTGTGATGGACCATGTCCATGGACCACTGAGGACCAGTTCAGGAAGAACAGCCCACTTTTTTTTTTTTTTTTTTTTTTTTTTTTAATCAATAGCAGTGATACAGGTGAAAGTGAAGTGCACACAGTGGGATGTAAAGCAATTTTGACCGTAAGATGGAATCCACCAACATAAGCATCTATGTCATTCACATGGAACACACACAGCAGTAAGTAAGTGAAACAGTAAAAAAAATAAAAGAAAGATAATTCCTGACCTTTACTTGTGGTAAATAAATAATAAAAAACATAAAGCACATATGTACAGACATCGAAATGATGGAACTTTTTTTTTAATAAATAAATGGGAGATGGCGACGTAACCAGGAAACGACATACGTCGAGTCCGAGGTAACCCGAGAACTGCCTGTACTAGTGTTTAGCAAGAGGCCATCCCTCTTTTCGATCTACACTCACTGGTTCCTGAGATGCAACTCGTGATTGTCTACATCTTGCAACCTCAAGATTTCTGGTCCCTTTGATACTCAGCTCTATTTAACATTCTGTTCCTTCTGTTTGTCATTTTACTGATTTTCTATGATTGTTTTTCAAATGCCATGGGGGGTTTTAGGTAAGTATATATTGCTGCTTAAAAAGTATTCAAGATGTAATAGTGATATATTGTTTTAGTTAAGCCACGGTGGTCGATCTATATATCAGTCATCTATCTATCTTTCTGTCATCTGTTTATCTACCTACCTATCTGTAATGGTTTAGCTTAAACTCACACATATGTACACAGACATAGACAAACACACACACTCACATAGACACACATATATTATGTTTAGAGTGCAATATATACACAGCCAGCCACAAACATCCTGTTCCCATGGAGACAGTTCTACGAGAGCTTAAAATCATTGCTTAATGTATATAGGTATCAAAAGACAAATTCATTCCTCAGGATCTTGGTCTTTCTCATGCATATACAATAATGAAACTTACATAACCCTCCAGTTTAAGAAATCCAGTGCTCTTACCAACTATAAAAACCTATGTGTGGGCATTGGGCCGTCTGAGGGGATATAAGAAGCATTTGTCAAATATTGCTGCAGCCTTCATGGTTGTCACCAGCACCGTGCTGGGTGGGCAGTGAGTGATGAGGTGAAAGCAGTGGAGAGACGGAAGGCACTTGGTGGCACACCTCGGAGCCGTCTCCGCCTGGTGACAGATTAATCAGTGCTTCCCCGTGAGCCCAGCTGCCAGTGTCCTCAGAGGATGCGCACGCACATTCCCTTGCCCTGCGGAGCAAGGCTTCCTTGGCCAGAGCGCCCAGGCCCAGGGGTCAGGGGTCATTGCCAAGGACGCAGCGCAGGGGTCGGGGGAGCCAGCACACATGCTTTCTTCTCTGCCACCGGGTGACCCGGGCCCAGGTATCCATTGCTTAGACTCCTCTGGAGGAGAGGGGCTTGAAGGAGTGCCAAGCGCCAAGCAAAGGCTTGGAAGAGACCTTGAAAAATGCCACAGATGTTTCCCAGGGGACTCGGTTGGTGTGACAGCAGTGGCCCACGTAGCCTGGGTCGGGAGCTGGCTGTGCCCACCATGTGCTGTGTGATCTCGCTTCTTCCCCAGTGAGACCATGTGACCCTCAAGACTTGAGGGCCCCCTTCATCTCTTCTCTTCCCCGTGGGGAGATAACCCCCTCATGGTTATTGCACTTTCCTGCTCCCCCCACCCGACACTCAGAGCCCGCCTCCTTCTGTGCAATGCAGCATGGAGTCAAGGGCTCCGGCTTGAGTCAGGTGCATGGGGTTTGGGTTCAGTTCAGATAAACGGGCACCTTAAAAGTGCCCACCTCCTAGGTGGTGAGGACACGGGCGACTAGTGGTGCCCAGCAAGAGGCTGGCACGTAGAAAGCCTGGTGAGTAGGAGCTCCAGGAACCCCTGTCAGTGCGTCCAGAGCGGCTACTCTGATGGACTCGGTGCTTCCCCTCCACGTTTCCCTCTGTTGTATTCAAATCAGGCAACAATGGGCCGCCCGTCTGGGAGGGGCCGCGGGTAGTCCCTCAGATGCTGGTGGCCAGGCCACTGGAAGGGCAGAAACCTCTTTGGCTGGACATCTGGACCATGGACAGGGATCTGAGTGACGAGGACAGTAAGTATGGCCGGGCGGGCGCGGACGCACACCTCTGTAGTGGGCACCGAGCCCCAGTGCTGCCTCGGGCTCTGGGTCTGCCCTGCGGAGGGCATTCGTCCCTTCTCCCTCCATTCTTCCTTCTTCCTGTGTGCAGAGCCCACTCCCAGCCTGCAGGCTGGTGTCCGAAAGGGCCCCAGGCTATGGAGAAGGATGTAAAATCTAAGAGGACTTTCCTCCCTAATGACTTAATACATCCACGTCTTACAGTCTTACCTTCCTGTCTCTGTCTCTGTCCTCCTCCTCCAGAGCCAAATGTAGTGTGACTGGCGGGAGTCTTATTTCAATCACAGCGGGGCTTAGCTCTTAGATGAGGTTAATTTAAAAGTGTCAGGAAAGGTCTTTACTCATGGACTCCCTCACCTCGGGGAAACAGCCTAGGTGACCCCTTCCTGTCATTACTGGGATAGAAAGACTATTTAAAGAGACGACCAAAAAATAAAAAAAGGATTTTAGGAAAAAATTTGCTATGTTTAAAAAATTTATTGATCCTGAGGAATGCTGTACAGTGTCAGATTGGGAACTCGGAGGCTAGGGTTCAATCCCGACTCTGCCGTGAACTGGCTGTGTGGTCGTGGGCCAGTCATTTAAACTCTCTGAGCCGCAGTTTTCTTGCCCACGAAGGGAGATTGGATGAGGAGCTCTTCATTTGAAGACATGAAGGGGTGGGAAATGATGTGCGAATGTGCTCTTTTTGGAGGTGAGAGTCCACATCTGAATCCCAGCGAGACCTGGGACACTGGTCCTTTTTCACAGTTACTGAACTCGGGGACCTCAGAGGTCCTCGAGGGTCCAGCGCTCTCTGTTGTCTCTTGTTATCTCAAAGCCTAAGCTTCAGAGCAATATAACATAAACCCATGCTATTCCTAGAGCTCATGGAAGTGTTTCATCTTGCAGCGGAAGCTGTACGGAGATATTTTAGCATGTGTTTGAGGAGGACCTAATCTGACATGTTGGAAATTGTGTGTTTTTAGCCTTATTTTAATAAGCTCCTACTGACATTCAAATGCAGTCTTTCCTCGTCAAAACGCTGCTCATTAGCAGTCTTTCCATTTATATGGGGAGTTTCTCTTAGCAGAAATGGGCCAAGTCAGACCTCAATTCAAATGCAAGCTGGGCCCATTTGTGCTGGGAGATTTTGTTTCAGTCACTTAATCGCTATGGTGTCATCTTGCAGATTTAATCAAGGATTAATTGGCTGTACAGTGCCTAAACCATCACTCAGTCTAGAGCAGGCATGAAGTAAATATTGACTCTAGAAAATTATCAGATTTTAGCCTCCAGAGCTTTAAAATTAAACTGTCATTAAGGAGAGATATTATCACCTGTGATGTTTCTGTTTTGGCCTCACCCTTTTAGTAAGCAAGGTGAGGGTAAGGCCAACGTTTTACTTCCCTTAACATTCCAAAATGTATGATGGACTCCATTCTGTCAGAGGGTCGGATTTCTAACCCACTCAAAGCTCAGGGCAGCACTGAAGGCCTACTGCAAGGCATGGGGCTGCCCAGAAAACGCTTTAGAGACTGAGTTGACGCACACTGGAACTAAATAAAATTTTCTCCAGGTTTCAGACTTACTGATTACTGTAGGACTTCCATCATTTAAATGTCCTGTCTCAGGAGAGAGATGGCTGCCCACTTTGTCCAGTTGTCTTGCCCACTCACTGAGTTTTTGAGTCTGTAGTGTGGGCAGCTTCAGCAAGAGAATATCCTCCTCCGATGACACACTTTGGGCCAAAGGTAGCACAGATGGGGACATCTGGGATGTGGCGCCCACGTGGACGCCACTTGGAAGGCTGTTTAGCACCTTTACTATGGGATGCTGAGATGTCTTCCGACAGCATCGCCAGCTGGAGGCAGCATCCCCCTCCCCACCCCCACTGACGGGAGCTCCTTCGGTGGTGGGAAGCTGCCCCTCCTACCCTGTCAAAACTTTTCTTACATTGAGTTAATATCTCTTTCCCTGGAGCTTCTACTCTTTGGTTTTTATTCTGCCCCCAAAGCTCCTCAGAACCTGTCCGTCTTGTGTTTGAAACAAGAACTCTTCAGAGTCCTTTCTTCTCCTATTTCTTCAATGGACTCAGACATAATATGTTTTTAATCATTCTTCTCTTAAAGGGAAATGTCCTCACTCAAATCTCCTCCCTTATTCTAAAAACCCTATCTTTTGTAATGTAACTTTTTTGATTGCAGACTGACTGACACCCCTCCCAGAAATGGGAGGTCAGAGCCTCTTTAAGTATGATGGACTCTTAACGGCAGCCCCTGGTAACCTGAGGGGGACGCTGCCCTGACCAAGGGTGCAGGACCTCAGCGGCACCTCCTCACTCCTGGGCACTGGTCCCTAGGGAGGTGGGGGCAATGATCTGAGGCCACAAAACTGTTGCCATTAGTGACTCAGCACTGAAGAGATGGGACTGGCATCTGGACCTGCCCTGGTCCTCAAAGGTTTGTTCACAGAGTGTCCCTCGCCTTGCTCTGAGTTGGAGATCGGAGATTGGATCTGAAGCTGTCACGATCCCTGGGTGGGAAGGGATGCTGGACTTCTGGGCAGGGGCCCAGCGGCCAAGAGCCGTGGTCACTGACCCTGGGCCTTGGTGTTTCCCACACATCCCTTAGGATGGAGGCACAGCTACCAGGAATGCAGGCCTTCCCTGCCAGGCTGGCCCTGGCCTCTCAGGGCCCCTCCGGTCTTTCCTGAGGGCTGTCTTATCTTTGGAAAGCGATTGTGGGTCTGGAAACTACTAGTGGAAAGATACTATCCCCTTTGGGGAGTAAGAAATTATCCCTTTAATGATGTCATCATAGCTTAGAGCGGAGCCCAAGAACTCTCCCACATTTGTTTGCAGATCTCTCTTACTTACTGCACTGTCTTCTCCTCTCAGCAACCCTCCTCCCTGAGCCCTGGTTTAGGGAAAGGTATCAAGGCCCTAAAAGTGAGTGAAGTGATTTTCCCTCTAAGACTGTACGGCAGGCTAGCTGCTTTCCTGTGCTCATGGATGGGGCAACAAGGATGAATAAAACACTGATCTACCTCCCCTAGTAGGGGAGGCAGACCCCAAGCAGGTATTTTACAAGTAACCTATCTAGATATATAAAAAGCAAGCGGCCCTAATGCCATCACACCTTAACGACCAAACAGCGGTTGGATGGGGCAGCGAGCTATGAGCATCAGAGGGTGATGAGCTTATGAGTGGCGAAGGACTACCAGTGGTGGAGGGCAGGACACAATCTACAAGTGGTGATGGGTGGGCAGCCAGCTGAGCTACTCATGAACAGATTTGTGCACAAGGCCCCTAGTCTATACTCATAAAAGGGTAACATGCTGATTAGATCCAGAGACCTTCTGGATGTTCTTCTGGACAAAGCCATGGTGATGGGGCCAAGGCAGAGGTGGTTAGGGGTGATCAGGCCAGCAGGGGAGGGCAGTTGGGGAAGAGCAAGCCAGCAGGGGAACAGTTGGGGGCAAGCAGGCCAGCAAGGGGGGGGGGGTGCAGTTGGGAGCAATCAGTCTGGCAGGGGCAGGCAGTTAGGGGTGATCAGGCTGGCAGGGGTGACAGTTGGAGTTGATCAGGCTGGATCCCTGTGGGTTGAACCTAAACTGGCAGTCAAACATCCCCCAAGGGGTCCCGGATTGAGAGGGTGCAGGCTGGGCTGAGGGACAACCCGCCCCCCCTCCCGTGCATGAATTTCGTGCACCAGGCCATTAGTATATATATAAAAGGCTAATATGCAAAGTGTCCCCTTGGGAGTTTGATCAGGAGACTGGGAGTTTGATCGTTCACTATGACATGCACTGACTACCAGGGGGCAGCGCAGAACATGGCAGATGACCAGCTGCAGTGGCAGGGAGCTGAGGGAGCGAGGGAAGGAGGAAGTGGGGAGGTGGGGAGGTGAGGAGTCTGATTGGCCCTGATCACTGGCCAGGCCTAGGGACCCTATCTGTGCACAAGTTTCATGCACCGGGCCTCTGGTAATTCTTACAAAGCCATTTGGCACAAGCAATGATAGGGAGTGGATTCTCTTGAAGGCAGGGGAGTTCTGAGATCACAGAGCAGGAGAACTCTACCCAGCCGGCTTTGCAGGAGAGGAGATCTGGGCTGACTCTGGCTGAACCAGGTGATGGAATGTCATGGGCAGAAGCAGCCAGAGTAAGGGCTCTGAGAAATGGCACAGTGTATGTGTGAGGATGTATGCAAGCCTCAGGGCCGTGAAGTGACAGGCCCCCTCTAGAAGAGACAAGCAGCTCTTAGAAAGCCCGGCCCTCACGAGGGCCTCTCTGGGCGTGATGGCACCTTCCACAGAGCATGGGTTTTCCCTCCCGTTTAGTGGAGCTGTGTGGTGGCGTTTGCTGCATTCTTCCCTGGCCCAGAGGGGCCACTAACTCCAGGGAAACTCCTTCCAGGTCTTCTTCCCCATTTCTCTTGATGTCGGTCTCACTCACATTATATTTTTCTCAATGTTCCCCACCCCAAAGCTCCTACACTTCTCTCTCAAGCCTCAAGCAAGCTTGTCTCTCTCACTTCCCATTTCTGTTCTGTTCTGCATTCCTCTCCCCTCCCGCTCCTCAGGGAGCTGTCTTCCCTCCTCTCACCCTGCTCTGGACAGCATGGGAAGAGTTTCTCGTCATCATGTGAGCAGAGGGAACCTTTCTCCCCACACGTAATGCAGGGCCTCATCTGACAGGTTCAGGAGCCTGGACAGCAGCTGCGGGTAGAAGTGAGCCGCTGCAGTGTGTAAGAGAGGGCACGGCCTGGTCAGCTTTCTGGTCTTGCTTTGAAGGCCTTTAATTAGTGTAACCGATTATTTGTGTGTTTGTTCTTTTTTTTTTTTTTTTTTTTTTAAAGAATAGTTTATTGATTTTCAGAGAGGAAGGGAGGGAGAGAGAAAAATATCAATGTGAAAGTGCAACATGGATCGGCTGCTTCCTGCACGCCCCCCACCAGGAATGGAGCCCACAAC